CTGAGTTTCTAAGAATGGAAAGCCCTTCTTGGTCCAAGCCAGCTCTCTCGGCGCTGCCCTTTCTGCTCGTGGGCGTGGGTCACTGCATAGATCGGCTTCGTTTCCTGCTGAGGCTGCCCTCGTAATGTGGGGCCACACCGTCCCAGTGAGGAGACTGAGTGGCCCACAGGTGGTCTGGGGACTGTTGGGCCACACGGAGTTAATGAAGTGCAGCCAGGCCCCGCTGTTGAAGAGAGAGGCACCGCACAGTGCCACTCATTCTCTGCTACCGCTCCTCCTGGACCGCTTGTCCTGGCCCTGAACTCACGGCTGCCTGGGCAGGGGAAGTGCAGAATGTCACCTCTCTTACCCTAAGGAGGGCTTGAAAGTCTCCTTCTGACACCAAACGACCACTGTGTGTGTACACCTCCAAGAGGATGGTCATTTGCAAATGCTCGTGTGTCATACTGCTGAACCAGCGTCTGTGAGCCAGTTCATCCTCGGTGCAGCTAGTGCAAGGAGGCTCCAGAAAGTTCATGGAAAAATCCTAGCATCTTCTCCTTTCCTTTCTACTCCGGTAAAGAATTCCAACCTCGGAAACCCAACTTGTCCCCTAGGGCTGCTGTGCACCGGCATCGACGTGCATCAGGTTTGGGTTGTTGGGAGTGTTTCTGAGGCTGGGAAGTGCTCGAGCGGCCAACCGGCGGCCCAGGGCTTGCTGCCTGGTGAAGTCTGGGCAGTGAGGGACCCTGAGTGCGTGTCAGCCCAGCGAGATTGTGAGGGCTCCCTGGGGGTGGCCAGACCGGCAGCCACCCTCACGTGCACTCTGCTTGTCTCAAAAGGCAGCTTTGTGGAGAGGCATGCACACGTCACACAGTCCTCTCTGTTCCCTCTTGCAGGACGATGGCAGCTCGCGCTAAAGTGATGGCCGACTGGGTGTCAGAGGGTGGGGTGCTGCTGATGGGATATGAAATGTACCGACTGCTCACCCTGAAGAAGTCCTTTGCCACAGGTAGACCGAAGAAAACCAAGAAACGGTCTCTCCCAGTCATCATTGATCTGGATGAGGAAGACCGGCAGCAGGAGTTTCGCAGAGGTGGGCGTGCGCAGGGGCCGTTTCAGGACCAAAGCAGTCGCGTCTTCTAGTAGCATCTGGCCACACATGGAACGCGTTCTTGGTGTGACCCCGCTGGCTCTCGGTGTCGCTGCTTCCCCTGGCAGTGGGGCTCCTGTGGGGCTGGGCCAGGGGCTACCTCCGGGGGTCCTGTTTCTCTCACGGAGCAGGTGAGAGAGTGGCTGCTCCCTTGATTGATCACTGGGTAGCAGTGTCTTGTGGAGTGAGTTTGCCACTGATTAGTGATGGCCAGATAGCCTGGGGAGACCCTGTCCCTCAGTCAGTGCACAGCCAGCGCCCATGCAGAGGATCAGGTCCAGTCCCGCCAGGCTTTATCCCGGAGTGCATTTGAATCTGGGCTGGTTTACTGCTTGGTGTAAACCAGAGGTTCTCAACCTGTGTGTCATGACCCCTTTGGGGGTCAAACGACCCTTTCACGGGGGTCGCCTAAGACCATCGGAAAACACATAAATATTTCACAATATATAATTACATAATGTTTTGTGATTAATCACTGTGCTTTAATTATGTCCAGTTTGTAACAATGAAAATATATCCTGCATATCAGAGGTTTACGTGGTGACTAATGACAGCCGTGAAGTAGCAGCGAGGATAACTCCATGCTTGGGGGTCACCTCCACATGAGGAGCTGTGTGAAAGGTCTCGGCCTGAGGGAGGGTGAGGACCCCTGGTCTAAACCCCAGGAAGGCTAATCAGTTCTCCTCTTAGCCAAAAGGATAGTGGCCACCCTCAGCGCAGGGCAGGAAGGGCTAACTGTCACGCAGGAGTCAGCAGGGTGCAGACGCGCAGGAGCTGTTCCCGCGGGCTGACCCTGCTTTCTCGCTCCCTTCAGTCCTGTCTCCTCCAGGGTGGCCTGCTCCTCCTATTCTTGACTAAGAGCAGGCCCTGTCTCCCTCTGATTCCGCACCCTCTTCCCTCCCCAGAGTTTGAAAAGGCCTTATGTCGTCCTGGCCCCGATGTGGTCATCTGTGACGAGGGGCACCGCATCAAAAACTGCCAGGCCAGCACCTCGCAGGCCCTGAAGAACATCCGGTCCCGCCGCCGCGTGGTGCTGACCGGCTACCCCCTGCAGAACAACCTCATCGAGTACTGGTGCATGGTGGACTTTGTGCGCCCCGATTTCCTCGGAACCAGGCAGGAGTTCAGCAACATGTTTGAGCGCCCCATCCTGAACGGGCAATGCGTGGACAGCACACCACAGGACGTCCGCCTCATGCGATACCGGAGCCACGTCCTGCACAGCCTTCTGGAGGGCTTTGTGCAGCGGTGAGCTGTCCTCAGGGCAAGCGCGGTGCTGTTGCAAAGAGGGGCCGGGAAACTTCGTGCAGACGGAAGCCTACGGTCTCAGACCTGAGGAGCTGCCCTTGGAAGTGAGCCCTGGGGGCCGCCTGTCTTAGGCGCCCAAGAAGCAGAGAGAGCAGGAATCTTACTGCTCTGACGGGAGAGTAGCGCTGGTGGTGGCAGGGCGTGGCCTCCAGCCGGAGGAGCTCAGGCAGGACTTCTTCCGCCTGTGCTCCTCTGTGTTCGAGGGCACGTGCAGAGAGAGCGCGGTAAATGCCTGTTTTCAGTCCCTCAGATGGCGACCTGGCACAGGTGGTTCTGCCTTGGCTTCGGTTTTCCATCCCGAGGAGCACCTGTTTCCTCTTCACCGTGTGCCGAGGCCGTCCCGAGGGAGGTTGGGGAAGGGGTGGCGGGTGCGTCAGGTCCCTTCCGGGCCACCCTGCCGGCCCCAGCTGACCCCTTGGCTTCTGTAGGAGAGGCCACACTGTGCTGAAGATCCATCTCCCAGCCAAGGAAGAGAATGTGATCTTGGTGCGGCTCTCCAAGATCCAGCGGGATCTGTACACACAGTTCATGGACCGCTTCCGGGACTGTGGCAGCAGCGGCTGGTTGGGGTTGAACCCCCTGAAGGCTTTCTGCGTGTGTTGCAAGGTGGGTGGGGCCTCCCTCCCAGAGAACCCGGGGGCGCAGAGGACAAGGGCCCTGACGAGTGTGTAACTGGGCTGGACAGCAGCTGCCCCAGACTCGAGCGGCCGCCGTCCTCCGAGCTTCTGCCTCTGTCTCCCGGTGGAGAGACAGGTTACAGGACCCCTCACTCGGATCTAGATGCAGCTTCAGCTCATCGCTTGCGATGCTGTGGGGCAGCAGGGCATCGGTGTTTGGACCAAGATTCGGTTGTCTTTAGCACAAAGTGTCCTGAGCAGGTTGATACACCTTGTCCGGCTTTGACTTGGCCAAGTGCTTCCCGTTACCTCCTGAGGGACCTGCACCTTTGGCTTGGCCTGTTAGGGCTTATTTCCAGCTGACCGCCGATCCACCCAGGCAGCCGCAGGTGTGTATCCAGGGACACATGAAACCTGGAGATAATACTCATTTGGTAGCTGCAGCCCTGAGCCAGGCCTCTGCAGTAGACACGCGCACACTGCAGCGCTGACCCCTCTGAGAACGGGCCTGACGTGACTTTTGGACGGTCAGCTGTGCGTCAACTCTATTCTGTTTGTAGGGACAGCTTGGTCTTGGGCAGTGGGGGTATCTGATAGACACGGGGGCACCCTGCCTCTCATTTGAATGGTAGGGCAAGGCCCCTGAGGCAGCGTTGGGCTGTGCACAGACACACTGTGAGCCCCCTCGGCAGAAGCAGAGAGAGGGCGGGGGCTCCTGTCCTTTCTGGCTGTGCTTGAGCAGGTGGCTCTTCTGGACTCTGGGATCCCCGTGAGGGCTTGGCCTCTGCCCTGTGCCATCTCGCCCTGTCCTCGGCCCCCAGATCTGGAATCACCCCGATGTGCTGTACGAAGCCCTTCAGAAGGAGAGCCTGGCCAACGAGCAGGACCTGGACGTGGAAGAACTCGGCTCGGCGGGGACAAGCACGCGCTGCCCCTCGCAGGGCACAAAAAGCAAGGGGGAGGACAGTGCCTTGGCCTCGCTGGGAGAGGCCACCAACAGCAAATTCCTGCAGGGGGTCGGCTTCAGTCCTTTCCAGGAGCGCGGCAGCAGCATTGTCACTTACGAGTGGGTGAGTCGAGCAGGCCACCGTTGCGGGGTTGGGGGTAGGGGCACCATGGGCACCATGTGCTACGCTGCCCAGGTCTTTGCTGAGAACCAGGAAGAAGGCTGGTCAGCTGCCGCCTCGAAGGATTTCATGATTCAAGATGAGCCCTTGGACCTGCCCGGAGCTGCCTACTTTTTCTCTTGCAGGCCAAAGACCTTCTGACCAATTACCAGACTGGCGTCTTAGAGAATTCCCCCAAGATGGTCCTGCTCTTCCACCTGATTGAGGAGAGTGTGAAGCTAGGGGACAAGATCCTTGTGTTCAGGTAGGAGGAGTGCTCCGGGGGTGTCTTATGACAAGGAGTGACCGCCCCTCAGAGTGAGACCAGCCGGGGCCTCACCTGCCTGCTTTTCTCTCGCCACACCTCCGCAGCCCCTGCTGATCGTCATGACCCCTTGCGTTTGCCTTCCCCAGCGTGGCTTCTCTGCAGGAGCAGTGTAGAATCCTGCCGACAGCACGGGTGCAGGGTGGTGCTTAGAGGAGCAGATCCTGGTCTAATCAGCAGGCTCTGGCTAGGCCACTTCTGGCCGCAGAGCCAAGCATCGATTTCATGTGTTAAACAAAGAACGCAGCAGGGTACACTGTCAGATTGCCTGGGGTGCAAAGCCGGATCTGGTTCTCCACAGAGGAGCCCTGGTGGCGCAGCGGCTACACAGCTAACTGCAAGGTCAAAGCCACCTGCCTCTGTGGGAGGAAGACAGGGCTTTCAACTCCTGAAAAAATGTAGAGCCCCGGAAACCAACTCAGCGTCCCTGTCAAGTTGGTGCTGGGTCATGGCCGCCCTAGAAGGACAGGGTAGACCTGCCCCAACTAGTTCCTGAGATTGTTAACACGTGCCCCCGTCCCGCCCCCAGCATGCCTCCCGCACCAGTGCTGTGACTCACTGCAGAATCACCTTCTCAGTCTTGCCCAGGTTTTGCTGCTTGTCCAGGTCTGACTCCTCAGACAGATGGACGTCCGGGGCTGCTTCTTTCTGCTGGCGGCCCCGTGGCCCCAGGGGGAGCAGGGGAGCCCCACGGTGATCTCCTCTCGTGACATGCTGTGAGAGGACAGCAGCGAGTCCAGCCCTGGGAGAGCCCAGGCCTCGCCTGCGGAGTTCCATTGATCATTTCCGGGGGAAACGACTCTGGCTAACTTGGAAGCAGCCGAGTGACCCTGTGCCTAATAAGACACTATTCCCCCCCCCCACGGCTGGTTTCTGCCTTGGACGCCCTTCTGCTGCTGCTCCATGAATAGGAACACTAGTGCAGGTTTCCCACCTCACAGCGCTCCCGCAGGCTTGCTCGGGCCTTCACGCTGAATGCCTTTGTTGGTGTGCACCAAGCCAGCTCGGGGCTCCACACTAGCCCCCATCAACCGAGGGGGCCCAGGGCACTGGGCCGAGTGGCAGGCATTTGGAAGGGATGTGCACAATGAGTGTGTGAGGACATGCTGATCTCCTGCTCCACTCCGAGGACACTTTTAAGCAGCATGGGCTCCCGCTGCGGGGGCTGCACGCGAGTGTGGGCTGGGGCACGGGTCCCTGGCTGGGAGCCTTCTGAACCAACACCGTCCCTTTCAGCCAGAGCCTGTCCACCTTGGCGCTCATCGAGGAGTTCCTCGGGAAACGTGACGTGCCCAGCCTGCCTGGTGCCGAGGGGCAGGGGGCGCAGAAGTGGGTCCGAAACGTCAGCTACTTCCGTGAGTTTTGTTGTCTTCTCCCTGGTTCTCCTTTCCTCTCCCCAATTCTCCCTCAAGTCTTAGATTAGCGGCGGTGGCGGCGAGCACAGGGCTGGGAGCCGCAGCTGCTCCGGGTGGGGGTGGTGCAGAGACGTGAAGACATGGGCCGAGGCTTCACTGAGAGGGACAGCGTGGGGAGCGGAGTTCTCAGGAGCACGGCGCAGCATGGCCGAGGCTTCCTCAAGAGGCAGGGCTTGAAGCAGAAGCGCATGAGCGCCCTGGACGGTCAGTCCAGTGGGGGAGCAGAGGGACCAGACCTGGAGTGCATGCTCGATGGAGGAGGGGTGTGGAAAACCCACAGCTCCTTCCATGTCTGTCCAAGACACTGGTGCAGCTATGTCTGTCTTCCTAAAATGTCAAGAGGCAATGATGAGATACAGCGTGTGTAAAAAGGACCCTTAAAAACCAGCCAACCAGTGTCACCCGACCTGCACTGACGGTGTCAGAGCGTGGAGCTGCCCCCACGGGTTCCTACGGGAGCAGGCCACTTAGCCTTCCTCGGGCCTGTTGGACGGGCTTGCACCGCCAACACTGAGGTTAGGGCTGCTTCTGGGGGGCAGTGGGGAAAGATGGAGAACCTCGGGCCCAGTTCGGTGACTTTGGGGCTAGGTAACTCTTCTGGGGGCTGTGCTACGTGTATGTTCAGCAACGTGTATATCATATACGTGTATGCAGTATGTTCAGCAATGTGTGTATATATACGTGTATCTATACAGGTATATAGTATGTTCAGCAACATCTTGATGCCCAATCGCTAAATGTCAGTAGCTCCTCACCTTTTCCAATTTAATAATCAAAAATGTCTCCAGACATTGCCAAATGTCGCTGGGGTGGGTGGGGGAGGAAGGCGGGCAGGGCAGAGGGGAATCATCCCCTGTGGGTGGCCTCCGGCTTAGAGGAAGGCTTGGAGAGCTGGAGGCCACCCCTGCCCGGAACCTGAGCTCAGCAGGTCTTCGGCGCCATCAGGTCCGCTCCAGCCCCGGTGACCGCTCGTGTGCAGCAGGCCAGGGCCTGGTCCCTGCGTTCTCAGCGACGTTGACGTGCTTGAGCCCATGGACCATTGGTCAGCTGTATCCTTGGGGCCTTCCTCTTGCCCACGGGCCTCACTGACCTCAGCAGGAGGTCCTTCTGTCTCCAGGTGCTGGCTCTCCCTAAGGACGGGCCGGAGCACACGTCCTGTTCTTCCAGGACAGACTCGCTCGTGCTCACTGCGGGTACTGGTTACTGGTGCTCCTCCCCCGTGACGTGACCCCCCATTCTGGGGCTTTGGCTGGTCCCCAAAGTGACATTTGCTTCTTATGCGTTACAGAGGTGCTTCACAGAAGGTTTGCCAAATGCAGCACACTGTTTGCTTGTTTTCCCTCTAGTTTTTCTTTATCGTTGTTGTTAAGAACATACTAGGCACAGCACGCAGTGACCCCCAGTTTCTGCGTGTATGTTTGGGGTTCCCACCCTCACCCGGCCTTTCCTGAGGTCGCCCTCTCAGGAACGTTTGCTCTCTGCCCCCTGCGTCATCGATCCGAATCCTTTCGGTTGCTGTTGGGAACTAGATCGGGCAGGTTTGCTTTACGAGTTCAGCTTCAAGACGACTTCAGGGCAGCTTTGATTTGAAGGGCCAAGGTGACTTCAATGTAGCCAGACACCACTGGCTCTTCTGGTCCAATTATGGGGGGTTGGGGAGGGAGCGAGGGGGGCGGACATCGCGTTCATGAAGGCTCTCAGCCACTCACTCCGCATCCTTTCTGTTCCTGCCGTTCCTTCTCCCCCTGCCGATCCCGGGGTGACGGACCAGATGCTGTCTAGATGTAAGCTTTCCAGGCCTCAGCCGGCCGGTGAAGTTAGCTAGGAGCCGAGCGTAAGCACCGGCACGTCACTGCCAGTGGACTGGCTGTCCCATGAAACCACGCCCTCAATCTTCAGACCAAGGAGCCAGATTCTATGGAGGGTTTACTTGTGTACAAACAGCCCCAGTGGCTTTTGCGTGTGTGTGTTAGTGGTAATGTGGTGGTGTTTTCAAACGCCTCACATGCTTGTGAAAATTGCACACTGACTAGGGAAGATTTCGTGCTGGCGAAGAATGCCAAGAGTCCGACGGACCGTTGTCAGAAGGACAAACACACCTGTCTTGGAAGAAGGACAGCCAGAATGCATGCTCCGTTGAAGCAAGATGGCAAGACTTTGCCTCACCTGCTTTGTACGTAGAAAAAGACCTCAGGCCTGGTGAAGTCGAAGGGCAGTGAAAACAGACAAGCCCTCCTTGAGATGGTGCCCCTGTCTGACAGGCCCTAGAATAGGACCTCCTGCTTGGTAAAGTGAGGGGCGGCTCCGTGACAAGGTGGCCCGAGAGGCTGCAGCAGTGGCCTCAGACCTGAGGACGATTGCGAGGTGGCGCGGGATGCCGAGGGCCCGAGCGCACGGGAACCGTGCCTTGCCGTGCTTTGGAAAGGCACAGCACGGTTCTCTTCAGCCGACCGCCTGGGCACAGACGGCAGCAGTTTCGGAGTTGCCCCTGTGCAGTGCCGCGTCTCCACGGGCTTGCCAGCGGCTGGCGCTGTATTGGTCGGACAGCAAGCCATCTTCTGCTCATCTGCCACCCTGCGGTGGTGGACGGAGGGCCAGCGGCTCATTTCCTCCAGTCTGCGGGGGCTCTCCTCACGCTCCCCTTGAGATCCCTGTTCAGTCCTCCTCCTTCAGCACGTGGGAGGAGCTCTCCGAGGCTGCTGGAATCCGTTTGGTCTTTGCTTTCTGTGTAATGACCTTCTGGCTCCTGGAGGCTGGGTGTCCGTGCTGGTGTCCCACAGCTGGGTGGCGTTCAGGGCGTTCCGTGGTGTATGCTCCAGGTTGTGCCTTGACTTTCATGCACGTCTTGACTTTAAACTTTCTCTTCAACCTCAAGTTGTGCTTGCACGTGAGTAATTGCTGGTTTGTCCAACAGTTGCTCCTGGCCTTGCTCTGTCTGATGCCATCGGTCTTCAGTGCATGCCTGCATCATGCGACGCCGGTGAGCTATGCTCAGACATGTGGGAGCCCAGGTTGGAGAGGAGGTTAGGGTCTGTAGGGGAGAGCCTGCAGTAGTCCCCAGGTGGGGCGGACTTCCTCAGGTGGTACCAAGGAAGAACTACCTGGAGATCTTGCCTGGCTAGGAAAACTCAAGGGGACATTTCTGCTCTTGGAGCCACGGGGCTACCAGGCCTTGGAGCGCACTGGGTCGCACCTGCCCACAGCTGGTGTACAGCTCAGCTCTGCTGGGCACTTCCTGCCCCGTTGCTCACTCCACCAGAGGCAAAGGTTGCCCACCTTCTCTTGTTGGTGTTTCCAAGCTGTCATCCAGTCCCCACCCACCCACCCACCCACCCAACTCGGGTAAGCCTTCCCACTCCTCTCCACTGATTCTGTTTCTCCCTTGAGCGAGGTTGAAGGCGGCTTGGTGGTCCAGTGGCTTACTGCTCAGCTGCTGACAGGAGGACTGGCGCTCATGTCTACCAGCTGCCCTGTGGGGTACAGACGGGGCAGCCTGTGCCCATAGAGGTCATCGCTGTAGAATCTGCCCTGTGGGGCCATTGTGAACTGGAATCAAGTGATGGCAATGCCTTTTTAAACAGCAAGTGTTCCGCAGTGCGCTGTTAGAACGCACAGTCCTGGTGGAGGGGTACCATCCGTATGAAAGTGCAGGACCCTCTGCTGGCCTCACGCACTCACCGGGGCCAGGGGAGAGGCAACGTGTACCAAGCTCTCGGTGATTTGTATGCGCTCTGAAGTCTGGGAACCTTGGCTTTAGACTTGACCCAAAATACTTGAAGGGGGACCGTAGTTGATACTCTCTGCACATCCCCACCTCCCAGGAACCATCTGTATTGATGCGTCCATTTCAGTGTGTGCCTCGGGAGTGTCCAGCGGTGGGCATCTCAGCAGCATAGTGGTCCTCATGGTGGCTGTGTTTTTGAAGCGTGCTTGTCCAGCAGTGCTGCTCCCTGCGCCCTCACGCCTCCCCTTCCTGTGGTTCCCGCCCCTTAGGGTTGGACGGCAGCACGCCTGCCTTCGAGCGGGAGCGGCTCATCAATCAGTTCAACGACCCCAGCAACCTCGCCACGTGGTTGTTCCTCCTGTCCACGCGGTGAGTACAGCCAGGAGGTCAGGCATTGGTCCCGAGCCTCGTTCACACGCAGTGAGAGCCACTCTGCCCAGTCTGCCACCCTCATGCGGAGATCACTGCAGCAAAGGGTGGGGAGGAGAGCAGACGGGGCCCGGCTCTCAGTGGGAGTGGCGTCTGGGGTCTTCAAGGCTTGTGTTCAAACAAGCAGCCCTGTAAGCGAGGTGTCAGCTCAGTCCACACGGAGGAAGCGCCCCGGCCTCTGTGATCCATAGATGACAATAACAGAATCCAAGTATGACGGAGGGGAAGTCTCAGAGTTTAAATTGTGAACACTCAATTTGTGTTATGCCCGTGGAGGAGGGTGGGAGCCCAGACCCATCCGCAGGGTCCCTACGTGGATTAAGCCTCTGGTGAATCCCCTCCAACTGTACTGGAGAGATGTGAATAGACTTGCTATCAGGCAGAGCTTTGAAAACTCGATTGGCCCGTGTAATACCTGGTCATTCAAGCTCCCTGCTGATCCTTTAAAATATATATATATTTTAAAGAATATGTGACTTATAAAACATGTGATGCCCTTGTTTAATCAGTTTTTACTATTTTTATTCCATTTGGTTAATTGAAAATTTATTGAATAAATTAAAAGGAAGTTAAAAAAGGAAAAATCCCAACAATGATCACAATTTGCTTTCTTTTTTTTTAAAAATTATTTTATTGAGGGCGCGTACATTTCTCATCACAGTCCATACATACATCCACTGAGTCAAGCACCTATGCACACCTGTTGCCCTCTTCAATCTCGAAATACCTGCTCTCCACTTCGGCAATTTGCTTTCTTTCAAGAGTGTCCTGAGACTTAGGCCATGCGGTGAATGTGACTGTGAGGTCAAGGTGTGACTGTAGGGCTGATGGCCTTTGTCGCAGCCCAAGGGCAGCTGCCGCCTGCCATCAGAGTGCCCCGTCAGGGTGGGAGCCCCTCGTTCTCCAAAGGCACCCCTGTGCACAGAGGTTTCTCCCGCCCGAGGCGTGTACCTGGCCAGGACCTGAGGCCTTGTTGGCTGCAGAAGGGTGGAGGGGGTCTTCTGTGCGAGCTGACGGGACCCTGTGTGGGGAGTGTTTAGGGGGGGCTGGAAGGTACATTTGGCTGGGGTGGGCACCACAGTGGGTGTGCTGATTGGAGACTTTCCGTGCTTGTTGACTGGTGTCTTAAAGGGCTGGATGCCTGGGTGTGAATCTGATTGGTGCCAATCGAGTAGTGGTGTTTGATGCTTCCTGGAATCCTTGCCACGATGCCCAGGCAGTGTGCCGGGTGTACCGCTATGGCCAGAAGAAACCCTGCCACATCTACCGCCTGGTGGCTGACTTCACCCTGGAGAAGAAGATCTACGACCGGCAGATTTCCAAGCAGGGCATGTCAGGTGGGCCGGCCTGCAGGCCCAGGGAGAGGCCCACATCAGCAGTGGTGGCGGGGAGCATGGGGGGCGCAAGGGGGGGGGGCTCCGGCTTAGAGGGCTTCGACTCCTGGACAGCCAGCCCTTCCTCCCACCTCACCCACTGCTGCTGCTGGGAAGAGAGGACGTCCTCCACTGACCAGGAAGAGCCCAGCCAGGACACCAGCTTTTGTCCTGAGACGTCTCTGTTGCTCAGAGCCTCAGTGGGGTCCCGGCCCAGGGTGGGTCAGACAAATGGCGACGAGGACACCCCCGCTGACCTGCGTGTTTGTGCGTCTGCAGTCCTGGCCACCCGCCGCTCACGTCTCCTCGCTCTTCCTTTCAGACCGGGTGGTGGATGATCTGAATCCAATGCTCAACTTCACCCGGAAGGAGGTGGAGAACCTGCTGCACTTTGTGGAGAAGGAGCCCGCACCCCAATCGTCCTTGAACATCAAGGGGATCAAAGAGTCCGTCCTGCAACTTGCCTGTCTCAAATACCCTCACCTCATCACCAAGGTAAAGCCCTGAGGACGTGCAGTCTCTGTCAGCGAGGCCCCCTCCCCTCCTCTCCCCTCCCCTCCCTTCTACAGAGGCCTTGTTGCTCACAGGCAGCTGACTGAGCTCGGCCAGGTGGAATCGCTTGGTCAGTGTTTGTTTTCCAGAACTGTAGTCGTGCATTCTGCGAGCAGTCCTCGTCTTTGGGTGTGAAGGCCGGCTTAGTCTTCTAAAGCGGGTGCAGGGTTAGAGCTGCGAAACATGTTCTCGCCCCGAGGCGGGGAAGCGTACCCGTGTGTCTGCACAGTGGGCAGTTCTCTGTTGGCTTCAGAGTAAGACTTGCTGGGCACTGGGCCTCTTGGCGCAGAGACCGGCAATTTACTCAGTGTCCTCCCCTGTCCTCAGGAGCCTTTCGAACATGAGTCATTGCTGCTGAACCGAAAGGATCACAAGCTGACCAAGGCCGAGAAGAAAGCAGCCAAGAAAAGCTACGAGGAAGACAAGCGCACGTCCGTCCCCTACACCCGCCCATCGTACGCGCAGTACTACCCCGCCAGTGACCAGAGCCTGGCCAGCATGCCTGCCTTCAGCCAGAGGAATTGGTGAGTCGTGGGAGGGGCAGGAGGCCAGACTCCCTCCATCTCTGCGCTGGTTTCTTCTTTAACCCAAGGACAGCTGGCAACATTGGCTTTCCCTGCTGTGAGGAACAGGCTCTGTTCCTGGGTCACGTGCAGGGGCAGGTCAGCACCACTGGGGTTTAAGTGGCTCTGGAATCCAGCCTGTCCACACACACAGGCCCAGTCCCTGCCCGCGCACAGCTGCCTCCTGCTCCTGGCACCTTGGCCCTGGCCCTTGCCTTGGCAGCGAGTTTCAAGGAGGAAAGCCAGGTTCTCGCTGGGTCCTGGATTGCGGTCGAGGGCTTGCTCCTGGTTCTATGAGTGTGCCGCAAGCCCGCGGAGGTCCCCGTGAGCGCCGTGCTAGAACGGCTCTCAGGCTGCACTGCGCGACGACGCCGGCTGAGAAAGGCCTTTGGGGAGACATCATAGAAGAGTCATCTGTGTTTAATTGGTTTGTCTTTCTGTACTCAACTCTGTTTTTATTGTGAACTGGGGGCAAGTCTACAGAGCGGATGAATTTTCCGTTGCGTAGCCGTAGGTGAGTTCAGTCCCAGACCCGAGGGTGGCTGCAGCCCAGTCTCTAGCCGACCGCTGGGCTTGCTCTCCCAGGGTTTCCAGCTTCACTGGGCTCTCGGCTGGGATCGTTGCAGAGCCGTGTCTGGTGCTGAGCCACCGCTCGGTCTTCGGCCTGCGGGCTTCGGCCTGCTGTTTGCCGGTCTAGGGGCCTGGTGCACTGATAAGCTCCAGGCGGGGAGGGACCAGTGCTTGTTCCTTGGGGACCACTCATGAGCTTGTAACGTCCCCGTGGCTGCTCCCCAAAGCAGGGTGTAGAGTGTTCTCTTTGTGGAATTGCCCTTGGTCCCGGGGCAGTGAGTGACTCCCTCCCTCACTCAAGGTATTTGACGATCGTCAGTGAAGGTTCATGACTGCGCCCCTTGTGCTCTGTCTCATTAATGGTCACCATACATGTGTCGTCGAGCCTGTAAGGATTCCCAGGGATGTGTCTATTGCTCCCACACCCCCAGCCCGCCTGTCTGCCCGTCCGGTCCCCGGCATTCATTCCATTTCAGACGGTGCCTCCCAGCCCACCCCCTCCCATTCAGGAGCATCCGGGTCAGCTGCTTGACTGAGTCATTGCATTTAAAATCATCTGATCGATGATCATGACTCAAGAGCATTCTTAAATCTGTGGGAATTATTTTAACCCGATTTTCTCTGGAAACCTGTCAGAGCTACAGCACCGAGCTCGTGTCAGATCTCAGCACCTGGTTTCTGATCAGTCCGTCCGTCCATCTGTCCGCCTGCAACACTTTACGTCACGGTGCTCTCATCTCAGGTAGAAGCTCTTGCTCTTTCACAGCCTGCAGCATCATTGCTGTGCGGCCGCCTGGGAACGCGCGCCTCCCTCGTCTCCCTTAGCCCGCTCCCCTGTCACCGCCGGAGGGGGCTAGTGGGAGGCACATAGACAAGTGGGCTGGACTGAGGCTGCGGCAGAGCCATCCCTGGCCCACTCTGACACCACTCTGACACCTTTCTGGGTGCTTGTGAAGAGGCCGTCTCACCCAGGCAGAGTAGGAGGGTTGGGCTGATTCTTAGGGACTCTCCCCAGGGCCCGTAGCCCCCACAGAGCTGCCGGGGCAGGTGTTAAAGAAACAGGCCCTTGGCCCTGCTGGGGCTCTCTGTGACTGTCAGCCTGCCTGGGAACTGGGGGTCCACAGGGCAAAGGGTGGTGGAGGGGGCTGCCCCGATGGCCTGTGCAGCCATCCAGACTGGAGTCAGGCGAGGACGAATGCGTCAGATGTCTGCAGATGCCCAGGCACCCGGTTTCAGGATGTTTGCTGGAACAGCTTTGTCGAGGCCTCATCAGTGAGCTTTGTGGGCCGCGTGGCCTGTGGAGATTCACGGCCGGTGCTCATGCCGTTAGAGGGCCCGTCTGGGTGCACAGCGCTGTGGCCGGGCCTGTGGAGACTGGGGAAAGTCATGTCTCGGAGGGTCGGGCTGCAGAGTCCAGAGGGCGAATGTGAAGGAAGAGACCGCGGGACGCGGCTTCCTGTGGCTCTTTCTGGTTGCGGGGTGCACGATTCCACGCGGGTGTTTTCAGCTGAGCAGCTCCTGCTGGTCTGTGACGAGCTCCCTGTCCTCTAGCGCCCTCCCTCTGGGCAGGGCCAGCCTCTTCCTCCTCGAGTGATCACCCAGGAACCCCATGGAGATTCATCCTCTTCTTCTTTGTATTACATTTAACTTTTAATCATTTTATCACAAGTCATCCATCCATCCGTTGTGTCAGACATATTTACATATTTGTTGCCATCATCGTTTTCAAAACATTTTCTTTCTGCTTGGTATCAGCTCCTCATTTTCCCCTCTCCCTCCCTCCCTCCTTTCCCCCTCCTTCCCCCCTCCCTCCCCCCTTGATAATTTATAACTTGTTATTGCTCTTTCATGTCTCACACTGTCCGATGCCTCCCTTCGCCCACTTTTCTGTTGTTGATAGTTCATTGTGATCAGTTCCCTCTTTCTCCCTGCACCTTCCCCTTACCCTCCTGGTATGATTATTCTCAATATTGATCCTGAGGGGTTTATCTGTCCTGGATTCCCTGGGTTTCCAGCTCTTACCTGTACCTGTGTACATGCTCTGGTCTAGCTGGGTTTGTAAGGTGGAGTTGGGATCATGATAGTGGGTGGGAGGAAGCATTAAAGAACTAGTGGAAAGTTGTTTGTTTCATCGGTGCTACACTGCACCCTGACTGGCTCATCTTCTTCCTGCGACCCTTCAGTAAGGGGGTGTCCAGTTGCCTACAGGTGGGCTATGGGTCTCCACGCCGCACTCCCCCTCATTCACAGTGATATGATTTTTTGTTCTGGATCTTTGATTGCCTGGTACCTGATCCTATCGACACTCATGATCACACAGACTAGTGTGCTTCTTCCATGTGGGCTTTGTTGCTTTCCAGCTCAATGGCCGCTTGTTTACCTTCAAGCCTTTAAGATCCCAGACGCTGTATCTTCTGATAGCCGGGCACCATCAGCTTTCTTTGCCACATTTGCTAATGCACCCACTTTGTCTTCAGCGATCGTGTCGGGAAGGTGAGCATCATGGAATGCCAGGTTAATAGAACAAAGTGCTCTTGCATTGAGGGAGTACTTCAGTAGAGGCCCAATGTCCTTCTGCTACCTTAATACTAATCCTATAAATATATGCACGTAGATCTATTTACCCATCATCATATATAAATATTTACATATGTACATGCCTGTATTTAGACCTCGATAAATGCCCTTTGCCTCCTAGTTCTTTCCTATATTTCCTTTTACTTTCCTCTTGTCCCACCTTCATGCTCAGCCTTCATTTGGGATTTGGTCATTCCTCCTGGTTACATTGCCCTTGATCAAGCCCTACCAGGCATCCTACGCCCTCTTCGCCATCAATTTTAGATTGCTTGTTGTTCCCTTGTTCTTGGGTTTGTTAACACACGCTTCCTTTCCCCCACCTCCCCCTCTCCCATTGCCCCCAGAGCCGTTGGTCACGTTGTTTTCTCCTCTGGATTGTGTATCCTGCCTATCTTATCTAGACAGACCTGCAGAGATAATAATATGCACAAAAACAAGACAGAGCAAAAGAAAGCTACAAAAGAAAACAAAAAAGACTACAACAAAAACCAACGACCGAAAAAGAAAAGCCTGTAAATAGTTCAAGGTCTGTTTGTTGACCTTTAGGAGGGAGTGTTTTCGGGTGAGTCTGATGGGGTGCCGGCTGACCCAACGTCTATTTTTGGTATTTCCCGGGGACTCCCTTGCTCTGCTCCTCTTCTTGTGTCGAGTGAAGATTTCACAGTGTGTTCTCTGGTGGAAATCCGCATCACCGGGGCAGGCCCCGCCCTGCAGAGCCTTCTTTCTCTCCGCGGTCCGGGCTCTGCTAGCACCAAGGGTGCCTCTGCAGCCCGCTGACTTTGCCGGCCTTGCTGTTCTCCTGAGGCCGTGCCTGCATCCGTCCGCCCGCCCGCCCGTCCGTCCGTCTGTCTGTCGTCTTCTCACACAGGCTGTGTCTGGCAAGTCTGCCGGTAGATTCGCTGTCCTGTGCCTGACCCATGGAGCCGGCGGGCGTGCTGAATCCTGCAGTCTGGCCGCCACCAAAATGGGTTCTAAATCCACATTAAAAATGGCATCCGGTGTGGTCTTGTGCGTGTTGGCTCCCTTTTCCGTGGACTTCTTTGTCGCACTATTGTATTGGGAACTGGTGAGATATCCTAGCAGGGCTGCACAATTGCCCCCCACAATCTCTCTCAGGGACATCCCCCACCATGCGTCTTCTGGGCAGTCGTCGGACAGTCATGCGTGAGGGCGGAGGGCACTCAGGCAGTCTAGATCCTAGAGGACGATGCCCCTTATTCCACCGACGCCTCTGGTTCCCTTTCAGTTGATTAGACTGCAGAGATCCTCGCTTCTCCGGAAGCAACTGAGGGCGCAGGGTGGAGAAGCCTTTGGAGGAAGGGAGGGGAGGGGGGAGGCCTTGGTGCCGAGCCCGCTCAGCCCGTGTGTCCCTCTCTCACAGGCAGCCAGCCCTGAAGAGTGACGAAAAGCCCGTGGCCAGCGTGCGACCCGTGCAGTCCACCCCCATCCCCATGATGCCTCGGCACGTTCCCCTGGGAGGCAGCGTGAGCGCCGCCTCGGCCACAGGCCCATCGGTGAACTTCCCGATCAACTACCTGCAGCGGGCAGGGGTCCTCGTGCAGAAGGTGGTCACCACCACAGGTCAGGATCTCCTCCTCCGGGCCTTTTGTCTCTGTGTTGTTCATTGGCTTTGTGCGTTCAGGAAGTGCATCCGAGGCTGGGCTGCACTGGCCACTGCAGTAAACCTCGGGAAGGAAGCAGCCTCTGGCTTCGAGTGTGCGCTTTGTGAACTCGTTCAAGAAGAACTCAGAGCCAGGCGTCCTTTGGGTGCGGCGTGGGGTAGCCTCTGACCACGAGGACATGCGGGTGGTCTACGAAGGTCTCACCAAGCAAGTGGGAGTTCTTAGCCCTGCCTGCCTGGGGTCAGCTGCGTGTGGTGCCAGCCACCCACCCCGCTTGCTCTTAGAAGGCCCGCTCCTTCCTTAGTGAGCTGGATCAGGAGGGAGTGGATAAGGCTCGTCCCACCCCGAGCCAGGTGGGTCAGTGGGCTTGCGTGGCCCCTCCTCCCCTGCTGTGGTTGGTGCTGTGACTCAGGGTGACTGGAAAGGAAAGTGGCTCATGATCTTTTTATTTTACCTTGTTATTTAGAAATACGCATGATATGTAGATTTTGTTGGAAATCTTTTAATTCATTCTGTTCGGTGTTAAAATGAAACGAGAGCCCCACCTTAGCCCCCTTTTCTGTTGATTCTTGAAAATATGCTTCGCTCTTTGGGCGGGCATTTGGGTAATGCCGGCACAGCACAGGACCAGGCTACTCTGGAGCCTCTGGTTATGGGGCGCAGAGATGTGCAGTTGTGCAGCCAGAGGACGAAGGAAGCAGAAGTCACCACTAGAACGGAATTTCTCCCCAAACCCAAACTCCACAAATTTTAGATCAAATCACGGGGAATGGATGAGAAGACGGATGGGGTTTCCCAGAAGCTTCTTGTTTCTATGGTGACTGTCGTCGTGTGGCGAGGGTCTGCCCTCTTCATCCTCCTGGCTGTTGGCCCTCGGTCATTTAAGAGGCTTCTGGAGAAACCAGTGGGAAGCACAAGCGGACAGGGAGAAGGCGTTTTCCTTTCCGCCTTCAGCCAGGCCCTGCGTAATCGAAATCTGAAACTTGTGTCTTCCGCAGACATTGTCATCCCTGGACTAAACAGCGCCACGGATGTGCAAGCCAGAATTTCTGCTGGTGAGAGTGTCCACATCATCCGTGGGACGAAAGGTAAGCCAGCGTCTGACCAGCTGCCCACTCCTGTCCTGCCTCTGGTCGGAGCGCTGGCCCGAGAAGCAGGAGGAGGAGGTACGGCACAAGCTGGAAGGGAGAGAGGGTCATCTCTCCAGGAGAGAGAGGTCACGTGGTGGAGAAGGGCCTCTGTAGCTCCTCAGCAGAGCTGGGTTTGGTCCGCAGCCGCTGGTCAGTGGCTTGACTCTCTCACCGTCTTGGATGGGCCTGAGCGGACACGGGGGGTGGGGGGGAGGGTGGGGGACAAGACTGAAGGCAAGGAGCTCTGGCATGGAGCGGTTTTGAGCCCTGCTCCATACTTCCTCTCATTCTACCCAGCCCCTTGCAGGGTGATCCTTTACAGAGCCGGGCACCACCTAGTTCTACTGGTCTTAGGGAGCTGGGCCCGCACTTAGTCCATTGGACACGGTTTCTACTTGTCTTTCCATTTTCTTCAGCCGTCTTTCCTACTGACCACAGAGAGACCAGTGTTTGCACCGTAGATGTCTTCTCGCCAGCTTTTAAAACTCTAGTCCTACCCACCCAAGTAGGGTGTAGAACATTGTCTTTCAGGACCGACTGTGTGCCGTTGGCCGTGGCGTCCTCTGCTGCTGTGGCCCTGAGCCCCCACCTGTGCCAGAGACTCATTTCCTCCAAGGGTTTGGTGATGGCTCAAACGTGTTCATACTTCCGTCCCCTGTAGGTTACCCCCATTTGTGGAAGTTTACAACCAAGTTAGAGACACATGGTCAGGCCTGTGGTGGCTGCATGGGCACATGCCCCCCGGCTCCCTCTCACTCCTCTCCAGAGCCGGGGTGTCTGCCCAAGCGCCTGCTCATGGCCCTTAACCACCCCCCAGTGTCGTCTCAGCCTCCATCATATTCCCTCTCTCCTTGTAGGCTGCTCCCCCTTGCCCAAGTTAACAGGGGTCTCCCCCCAGACCTCCTTGTCCCACCCGACAGCCATCTAGGAATGTGTGCTGTTGTCCTCTTGTGAGAGGCCTTTTCTTTTGATGGCAGTATTTGCCCTTCTGGGATTGGCAGGTCTCAGCACGAGCTCCCCCAGGCTCAGCCAGGCTGCAAGGGGCTTTACCGGCTCCTTGTTTGGTTTGTAGCCTCGTAGGATGTTGTGTTGCGTGTGTGAATCAACGTTTGTGTATCTGGTCTTCCGCTGCTCGGCATTCAGGTGCGTCCCGTTTTTGTGACTGTGTCTAGTACTCGTGCTCGTCCATTCTTGGTTCAGCTCCTCTTTCTTTTCTCCACTTGCCCAAACTTTCTTAAAGGAAAAAAAGGAAAAAGAAAGCAATGGTGGTAAATCTCTAGAACTCCGTATATTTTCCGGGATTCTTCCCTCAAAAATGTGACACTTGATTACCAAACACATGCCAGGAGTGTACACAGGCCCCGATTATATGCGTAGGCGAGACGCTGAAACCCCATAGTGTTCATCATCTTCCAACTCTGCCTGGTCTGTGGCCTGTCTCTGGATCCACGGCAGCTGCCTGAACAGCAGCAATGGCATCCTTGCTGTGTGTCGGTAGCCCCCTGAGCTCTTCTCTGAGCAGCTTCCTGTGTCGAACGCAGACGGTGCTGGTCCAGCGCAGCGGACAAGCCCTCCTTTGTTTGAACAGGCAGCCCTGAGCTGAAACTCGATTCGCCTTCAGCGTTTACCGGCTAATCATCATGGCCCTGAATCTGAAGAAGTTTCTCCAGAGCCGGTCCACAGCCCTGAAACCAGGGTTGCTTACAACCTGGGTTACAACTGGGTCAACCCCAGTTGACCCATGGCTCTGCCATTGTAGTTGCATTATCTGCATTGTTTTGCATTATTGGGCACTGTGCCCTTGCATTTTTCAGCACTACCCCCATATTGGAGTCTTAATCGCTAAGCCAGGAAGCCAGTCCTTGGCCTCTTGTTGATCTTGAATCCTGAAAGGGCAGCTAGCATCTCTGAGGTACATTTCAAAAAACGTGGGCCAATTGCTGCCGGGGAAGTTTCTCAGATCCCCTCCATCTTGAATCTTGTACTGCCTGAACAGTGAGACTTCTGTGTTCTGCTTGATCTTTGCGGTGGAAGCTGGCGGCCAGGGTCGTGGTGGTCGAGGGCCTTCAGCATGTGTGGACACATGGTCCCCGCCTCCTATAGCCGCTCCCCGGGGGGCAGCCGGGAGAGCAGAGGCGTGGAGGAGCCACCATGTTTCTTCCAGGTTCAGATGTAGGAATAGAGGGGTTTGGGGCAGGTGATATTTTATTCCCAACTTTTTGAGGGAGTGTCGTGCCGCTGCAGACTGGCTGTACCACCAGTGTAGGTGGGATTCTTGTCTCAAGGGTCTTAAGAGAGGGTCAGAGACCTGCTTTCATATCATGACTGGGCGGGGGCTTCCCAGGGTTGGCTGTGCACACCTGCCGCCAGCAGTCTCCCCATGCTTCTTCTCCATAGGGACGTACATCCGCACCAGCGACGGGCGGATCTTTGCTGTCCGGGCCACTGGCCGACCCAAGGCCCCCGAAGACGGCCGGGCTGCCGCCTCAGGTGGGTCATCCCTCTTCTCCGTGACCGGCACGACAGTTTGCAGTTTACTCATTTTCCCCGGTAGATAATGTGTACCTGGTTCAACATTCAAAAGACACGGCAGAGGGCAGAGCGAGGAGTGACCTGCCTTCCACGCTGCCCCTCAGGTCCCCGTCCAAGCCCACCAGCTGTTCCCGGAGAAAGATGAGGCTGCTGGTTCTGCAAAGATCAGGGTCCGCATGAGCGGGGACCCACTCGGTGGCAGGAGGTGTTTGGCCCCTGCCATCCCGTGTGCCTCCCTGGAGGTAGAGCTCGTATCTGGTGATTCATTTCAAAAGTATTGCGTACATACAACACCCAAACTCACCGCTATCGAATTGATTCCGACTCTTAGCAACTGTGGCACGGAGTCGAGCTGCCCTGAGGGGTCCTGGGACCGTAGCCCTTTACACGGACACAGGGCCTGTGAGCTCTTTGAAGCCCCTCATGTACATGGAGCGGGATCCTGCACACTTAACAACCAAATACTAGTGTACTAGTGTGAGTGTGTTAGCACGCTAATTCTTTGTAGTCCCCTTCACTCCCCTGTCTGTCTACCTTGTAGATGTGCCTTGTGGAAGGTGTGCCCGGGGGCACGGGTGTCAGAGGGTCCTTGTGAAAATCATTTTATTGCACTTTCTACAAATTGAAAGTTTGTGGCAACCGCTGGTTTTCACACACTCACGGTGCCGTTGCACACTTGATTGACTGCAGCCAAAAGTGAGCAGACTTTCACACACACCGAGAACCAAGCAAAGACCCCAGGGCTCGCTTCCCTGCAGCCTTGGTGCCCCAGAACCGAGCTCGCAGGGTCTCCCGGCTGTGCCACTGTAGCTCGGTGTCTCCACGGTTACTGGCAGGACCACGTCCACAGATGTGGGATCTGCTAGTAGGATTAGTTCCTGGAAGTGGGATTGCCAGGTTAAAGCATGTTAACTCTTGCCAAACGCCCCTGGTGGGCGTGATTCTAACGTGTCCTCCTGCTGCCAGGGTGGGGGGCGTGGTGGTGTGGGCCACAGTGAGCTGCCGACCACGAGGTTGGAGGGTTGAGCGCCGTGGTCAGTGTGCTGCTCCCCTAAAGAGGGACAGCCTCGGGAACCCACACGGGCAGACTCCGGGCATGGACGAAATGGAATAGACTGTGCGTGAGACCACCAGGTGTGAGGGTGCGGCGACTGCGTGGTGGTAGTGTGAGATCCCCCGCAGACAGACAGACAGACGGATCGAAGCAAGAGCACCGTGGGGGAACGCCCACACACCTGGGTCCTCGCGCCAGTGACTGCACATTTGTCGCTCAGATCCCTCGCACTGTCTGGCCCGTTTGCAAGGTGAAGGCGTTGGCCTCCCTGTCTGAAGACCACTTCAGTGGTCCTTCCCTGAGGCCCAGGGTCCCACACTGCACTGCCACCGCGAGGTCCGCTGTGCGAGCCCACCAGCCGCCCCGCGGGGGAGCAGGCTTTCTGCTCCCGTAGGAGGTTAGGGCTGAGTTGGCATCGACTCACTCGATGCCCAGAAAATTAAGAACATTGTCCCCTACCTACAACACAGTTCTCACCCTCAAAGGTAAGTGTGACAGTTCCCTGTCACCTGGCATCCGTATCACACTGAGACCTCTGCAGTCATGCCAGATGACTCAGCACCGATGAGTGTTTGTTTCTTGAACTGGGGTGGGACTGGCTGCTCTGTAACGTCAGTACCCTTTCCCCGGCCCTGCTGGTCACCCGGGGCTTCCTGCCCCAGTGGGTCCATCTCTAGAAGAGTGGGGCCTCCTATGGCAAATAAAGCGAGACCCACAGTCCCAGATGCCGCTGTGACCCTGCAAAGGTGACTGGAGGAGGCCGTTTGCGCTTTGAGGATCCCTGGGCAGGGATTTTTCTTTCTCGCCCCTCCTTCCTTGCCTGGCACTTCTGGTTCTCAGTTCCCTGCACATCCTGTCTCCAGGTTCTCAGGGGCCTTCCCACGAGTCCACAAGCAACGGCAGACACAGTGCCTCATCTCCCAAAGCCCCGGAGCCTGAGGGGCTGGCCAGGCCCGTCTCCCCCGACAGCCCAGAGATTCTCAGTGAGCTCCAGCAGTACGCAGAAGCGGCCGCCGCCCGGGGACCCCGCCAGAGCTCCCCCTGCACCCACACCGCCCAGCTCGTGGACAGCAGCGCTGTTCCTGGGACGGCTCTTGGGACTGAGCCTCGCCTTGGTGGTCACTGCCTCAACAGTTCACTCCTGGTGACCGGCCAGCCCTGTGGGGACAGGCACTCCGTCCTGGACTTGAGGGGCCACAAGCGAAAGCTGGCCACCCCGCCTGCTGCCCAGGAGTCAGTCCGCCGGCGGTCCAGGAAGGGCCACTTGCCAGCCCCCCTGCAGCCCTATGAACACGGGTACCCAGTTTCTGGCGGGCTTGCCATTCCACCCGTCTCCTTAAACCATAACCTCACCCCACCCTTCACCTCCCAGGCTGGGGAGAACTCCCTGTTCATGGGCAGCCCTCCCTCCTACTACCAGCTGTCCAACCTACTGGCAGATGCCCGCCTGGTGTTCCCAGTGACCACTGACCCTCTGGTGCCAACAGGCCCCGTCAGCTCCTCTTCCACGGCTACCTCAGTCACTGCCAGCACCCCGTCCTTCATGCTCAACCCCCCTGTGCCAGGGATGCTGCCCAACTACCCGCTCCCCTTCTCTCAGCCACTCCTGCCGGAGCCCAGGATGTTCGCGCCATTCCCGTCCCCGGTTTTGCCCAGCACCCTCTCCCGGGGCATGCCTGTCTACCCGGGCTACATGTCCCCTCACGCAGGCTATCCAGCTGGTGGTCTCCTCCGGGCCCAGGTGCCTCCGTTTGACCCGCACGAGGTCGCCGAGGTCGGGTTCAGCTCCAATGAGGACGAGGACAAGGATGACGACGACGTGATCGAGGTCACTGGGAAGTAGCGAGCGGGAGCCCGCCCCGCTGAGAGCAGTGGTGGGGCTCTCCGAGAACAGGGCAGTTGGCAAAAGGACGGGGAAGCGGCGACCGTGGTGGCAGGACTCTTGCTGTTGTAGCCATAGCAGGGGAGCCGGGACCCAGGTGGTGACGGGGCGGGCAGCCTGCCCCCCGCCCTTGCCTTGCTCACACCATCTGCTCGCTCGCCCGCCCGCCCGCCCACCCAAGGGTAGAGAGAGGCCCACTGTCTGTCTGTCTTTGGAAACGTTACTGGGTGACTTAGCTTGGCCCTCGGAGGGGAGGGAGGGTGGGAGAGGGAGCAGACTGAGATCCCATGTGAAGGGAGGAAGCAGACCAGGTATATATGTTTGTGTGTGTGTGCGCGCACGTGTGTCTATGTCAGTATGTACATGTATGTAACAGGCCGGGGTGATGGTGGGAGGGAGGGGCATGGGTAAGGAACTAAGGGGAAATGGAATTTATCCTTTTGAAAATGGAATCAGTGTGATGGCTTGTGGGACCTTCAGGGTGCGCCCAGCACAGGAGCCAGTCTCCTAGTTGGTGAAGAGAGGCCCGGCTGACCCAGCCCCTGGGCCCCAGAGCCACCGTCGATTTAGAATCTGAGCAATCATGGGAGGATGGGCCTTACCAGGGTCTGCCTCTCTTCCCAGCGGCTGTGTGTGAGCAGCCGGCTCTCCCTCCGCAGGGCGTGGGGCATGCGCAGAGACTGGGAGGGTGTGAGTGAGCCGGAGTTGTGGCTGGAAGAGACATGCTTACGGGCACGGACCTAACCCCTAAAACTGCCTGTCCTAGTGGCCCGTCCCAGCCCCCTCCCTTCCTACCAGCAAGCTCCATGATAATTTATTTCTCACGGCAGTTATTTATTACTTGGGCTTCCCTGTGCCCCTTCTGTTTGTTGGTGTGCGTGTTTGTACTGGGTAAGGGGTCAAGAAGGTAGGTGCTGGGGAGTTTTAAGATATTCCAGACCCCATAGCTACTGTGTTATTTTATTTTATTTTAAAAAGTGGATGGCCACTTGACTAGGGAGAAAAGAAAGCCCTGACCAAACTGTAGACGACGACACAGCTCCGTGGTGGGGTGCTGACTGCTTGGAGGAGGGGCGTCCAGGGACGGGGAGATCACTCCACGAAGACCAGACCGGTTTGGAGCTCGAGCCCTGGAGCGAAGTCACCTTAGAGGCAGGCCCTCGATGTTGCGCGGCAGGTTGGAGAATGGAGGCTGCTGGCCTACGGGAATGGTCCCCGACTTCGGTGGGGAGCTGGCTCCTCCAGCCTGCCCGACGGTCATGTGGGTCTGCTGCCTGCCGCCTCCGTCCTCCACAGGAGGAGGCCATTAGCTGTAGGCGCCCCAGGCCTGGAAGAACGCACGGCTCCTCTGGGTCTCCCCTCTCTGGATGCCAGGGCGGGGACTGGGGGGCCTCTCGTCCTAAGGCGTGAACACTGGTCATCCTGTCTTCCAATTGCTTTCCTCCCTGGTCCGCACTCACGACTGAGCGGGCGGGCCTTCTCTGTGGCTCCAGAGCTTTACCGCCTGACGGGGAGCTTCTGCTCTTGCCTCTCCACGGCCCGGGGGCAGGCAGCCCAGCCAGTAGCCGCGGGTGTGCTGTTGGAGGCCTTGACACATCCTGGGAGGGTGTCCCAAAGGAGGCGGCGGCTGGGTGTGCATGTGTCTGTCTGTCTGTGTCCGTATGCTGTTCAGTAACACCAAAAGTGGAACTTACAGAGCTTTCTTTCTCAGTTTCATCAGCACCCTGTTAAACCCTTAACTCTGCTACTCATAGAAGCCTTAGATCTACAGTTTAGCTATGCAAATTACTCCCTTAATTTAAAAATAGCAGTTCCAACCAGTGCTTTTTCAGATGCGTCCTAAGGATGGAGGGTGATGGGGCTGAGTTTGAGGGGCTCTCGGGCTTAAACTGGAGCCATCGGTCCCCAGTCCGCTGCGCATTCTGTGCTCATCTCCAGAAAGTCATGAGAGTCCAGGACCCGTCCCCAAAAGGGAACAGACACTGGTCACTGCGTGGAGGGCCTTGAAGTTGCCCGGAAGTGATCGGGTGGCTGAGAGGCCTGCTCTCTCCCTGGGTGGTCCCAGGACCGATGGTTAGAGAAGGCTTTCTCTGGCACATGCAGCGTGTATATGTACGTGTGTGTTGGGGGAGGGGGTTGTGTGTAAGGAACCTGAAAACACTTCCCTGGCTTTCCTGTTGCTGGCAGGCGCAAGAGCGTGCAAGGCCGCCTGGAGCGGCGTGAGGGAGGGGTAGAGATCGCAGAGTCCAGGAACCCTGCTTTATAGCCTCTGATCAGAAACACTCGCTGAGTGAGGGGGAGTGGTGACAGGAGAGAGGTGCAGACCAGGCCTTGGCAGCCCTCATGGCTGGTTCCCAGGACTCCCCGTGCCTTGTCCGTTAGGTTTTGCCCCGATGCTCAGCCCAAGGTTTTGCCCCGATGCTCAGCCCAGAGGTCGCAGCGCTGGCGTAGTGAGTGTCCACCCCGGTGTCCTCACGACGTCTTGACACAAACTAGACAGGAGCAGAGGAGCCGAGCTGGAGAGGAAGCGAGCAGACCACGTCGGCTCGGGCCGTCCCTTCAGACTGGACACAGAGCTGTCCAGACTGGACAGACCCTGTGCAGCTGAGATGGACCCTCTTAGAGCCCATCTCACCGTCTCTGACTTAAAACACGACCCATGGGGTCCCTGGAACTGTTCCCAAGGCACCAGCACGTGAGGTCTCTCCCCAGAAGCAGTGCGCTGACCCCAGATCTGCACAGTAGTTGGGAGGCAGCCACGCTGCAGTGGTCTCAGCAGGGCAGGGCCCTGCCCTCCTTTCTGAAGCCTCCTCTGCAGGCTGTCCAGTCCTCGTGCCCAGGGTTCCTAGATTGGCCCCTCTCCGGCCCCCTCCCTCCACACCCCCTTCTCCTTTCTGAGCCGCCTCCTGTGCATTCAGCAGGGTAGGGTGACTCTCACCCCACCCACGTTCCCCAGAGCAGGGGTCCTCCCCACAAAGGGCCCCGGGAGTCTTTCTGCCTGTTCCCTGTTTGCCGGCCCGTGAGACTGCCCTACCCTCCATCGGTCCCTTTCCAACTCTGGCCCCCTTTTCCCGACTCTCCCTTTCTGTGTATGCTCTGTGACCTCGTATATGTCTGTCCTGTGCCATGACCTTGGCTCCAGGCCCCGTATGAATTTCCGAGTCTTAAGACAATGAGCTTTCTGAGCAGGCCACGGCCCCTGCGTTGTGCTCGTCGGGGTCCTGAGCCCACCCTCCCCTGGGGCAGGTCTGTTGGAGGTGGACATCCGTGCTTCTGGGCGCCAGGCAGACTACAGAGTGCAGTGCAGAGGGCAGGGGAGGGGTGGAAACCCTCCCATCACCCCTTCTGGGATGACATTCAGAAGAGGGGACCTCACTGTGACCTGACACAGGACCCTCCTCGGAAGAGAGCTCAGCCCAAGGTGTGAGAGAGTGTGTGTGTGTACGTGTACCTTGGTGTAAACTGACTTATCTGGTTGTGCTACTCGGGGGCTGGGGGCTCATCTGGAGAACCTCCCAGCCTCCCTAAGCAAGATTGATTTCCTGCTGTTCCCTCTTCAGAGGGGTCAGGGACGAGGGGGTCCAGGTATGAGGGGATTACCATGGGTAACCACTAAGGCCACACTGCTGCCAGGGGTAGGGGAGACGAAGTAACCCGGGGACCTGGCGCCTGGCTTTGGCTTCTGTCTTATTTCCTCAGGACGCCCCCTGGGACCTGCACCCAGCTTGGAGGAGTGTCTGGCTGGGTGCGCCAGCGGCTTCCCTCCCCTCGCTCGGCAGGGCGGCGCTCCTGCCCTGGAGACTGGGCAACTGGCTGTTTCTATGACGTATTTATTTTTACTTGTGTTTCATGTCACTTTTTTAAAAAGCAAACAGAACAATTTTAAGTCAGTATAACTGCCTATCAGTTTTCTTTATTTCTCTTTTTGTAAAATAAAATTTAAACTCAAGAAGGCAGTATTGTTTGATGTGAGGCTCGCCTGGCGGGAGGCGGGGTGGGCGGGAAGAGGGGACGCACTCCTGAGAGGTCCTTTGGGGTCACAGGGCTCACTGCCATTGATTCAGCAGGGGCGGGCCGTGCCTTCACACACTTGGGGACACTGCATTTTCAGGGTTCTGGGTAAGATGGCCAAGCTGGGACAGTTCTCAGCCCCTGCAGGTTTGGCGGGTGCCTTGAGGTCTGGGCTCCCGGTGGCCGGGGGAGTTGGGGGGCACCACTGTCTGAAGTTGTCCGGGGCTGGGTTTGCAGAACGCTTCAGACTCCCAAGTATGTTGTTTCCCAGTCTTCACCCAGCTGGCCCACAAAGCATTAACCAAAGTTTCTGCAGGGGGTGGGTGGGGAACGAGGGCGTGGGCCATTCCCAAAGATTCACTTCTTGTAGGGAACAGACCCACGGCAGACCCTCTCAAGGCATTTAGTAAGGGAGAATTCAAATGTTTCTGTTGGGGATTCTTTGAACAGAGGATACAAAAGCCAAGTCTGGGCTCACGGGGATGAGATGGGCTCGGGCTATTGGGACCCTAGACTGGGGGTCAATTGTGGGTGAGGCCAACGGATAGCTACCCCTGGCTGCTGGAGGAGAAGCAGGGCCTTGCTGGGTGCCTGTTGCCCCCTCGTGACCACTCAGGCATACAGGGGTGCTCTCACTGCAAGGGATGAAGCCTGGCTAGCCGCAGGCCTTCTCCCAGTGGAACCCCTCTTCCAGGATGGGGCTACACTCGCAGGGCCCGGGGCGGGGAGTCGCAAGTGCTGGCGCTCCCCAACCACACGGAGCCCACTTGTAGAAAGGGCAGCTGCAGAGGGGGGTTTCTGGGGAGAAACTCATCAGCCTCCGGGCAGCAGAAAGCAGAGAATGGGCAAACCCCGTGGTCAGAGGCTGTGGGTCCGGTGTCCCAGGAAGTGCTTCCCATAGCCAAGTGCCTGGGACACGGAAGGCCTTGGGCCTGGGCCTGGCCCTTCATTGGCAAAGCAGACTGCTGTGACCATGCCTGGCCAGCCCAACGTGCCTGTGGGGTGAGGCAGCTGCCCGCTCTGCTAGCCTGCCCAGAGGGCCGGTCAGGCTTGGCTCTGGCAAACAAGGCCCCATCTTCCCTGCCTGTGGAAGGAGCCAAGATGAGCGCTGCTCCTGCCCTGTGCTAGTGCACC